GCTGTGTAGTTTTGGCCCTGCACTGGAAGCGTGGTGAAGGGAGTTGCCGGGTTGGTAGCCTAAGGAAAACCTTCTGACTTGTAGGATTAGCATCCATGATAAGGAACGTGAGTGCTTGCTGGGGTTGTTGTCAACTAGTATCAGAGAACAGTTAGGACTGATAGGCGATTTATTCTTATCAGAATTTGATAAAGGCCAAAAATCCCTTACGAGGATACCTCTGCTTCCACCTAGAGCAGAGTGGATTTACGTTGATTGGGGGTGGTTAGGGAAGGCTGGCTGGCTGAAGCACATCAGGCTGTGATATGGTTCCCTAGGGAGAGTCCCACGCAGGAGGTCATGTGCCCTTCCTTCCAGATTGGAAAGGCTAGAATCAAGGCTCTCAAGTGCCCATTTTCTTCAAGGCCCAAAGTTGGAAAATACTTCCCTACAGAGGAGCCTGTTCGAGTTTGTGGTGCTCCAGGAACCGGGCTGACAAGCCACAGTAATGATAAACCCTGAGGCCAGGCAGAGGCCAATTCTAGGAGATGTTTTCCCTCCAGATTCATTTTAAGGAATGCCCATGCTACCAGGGATGTGTCTGGGGTCTGGGCTCCATATCCAGCATCAGGCTAGAACATTCTTTGAATTCATGTTCTCAATGGCAGAGGTATGGCCTCTGGGACTATTTCAGGCCAAGAATCCCATCCAGTTTCTCTTGATGTAAGTGACATATAACCAAGAAAACAGCTGCCTTAACACAAACAGTTAGTTCTGGGAGAGAAACTGGGGGCTGTGTCCTAGGTCTATGGAGACATAGCTCCTCAGCTAGGCAGCTCCCGTGGGAACAAAGGAATACTTCAGCTACTTCTCACTCTTTTAACACCCATGGCTGTGGGAGAGGGAAAGGCTCAAGGCCAAGGCTCAGCTCCCAGCCTCCATCTCCTCCCACAGCTGCTGTATTTGAGAGGCGACCAGCTGAATGTCCTTGCTATCCCCTGGGCAGTATCAAACCCAGACTGAAGTCTGTTATGCTGCTTGCTGGCTGCAAGAACTGGTCACAAGGATGAGAATTGGGGAAGGGATTCAGGGGAAGTAACAGAGTGGCAGCCAAGTCTAGAAAAGTTTGGGATGAAGGGGCGGGGTTGGGAACAATTTGGTTAACTTTGATTGCCACTCACTGTGGTGCTTTTCACCTTTCCCTTGAATTCTGCTTTGAAAAGAATAAATTTGTATTTGTTTACTTTGGTTCGTCTGGTTATACTCTCTGACTCTGATATTCCATATCTTTCTCTCATTTGGGAAGTGGAAAGAGAGGGTGGACCAAGAAGCCACAGAAGCACTCTAAAACATAAGGCCACCAGATGAGTCCAACAGCTATGGGACAAAAAAACATTGGTCCCATCTGCTACTGTTACCTGGATTGGTCGCCTCTCAAGCCTCCCACCCTTCCCCAAATTAGCTAGTTATCACCTTATGGGATGAGCTCTATATAGCAGTGGTTTCTATATTGCAGCTCTATATATCACCTCATGGGATGAGCTCTATATAGCAGTGGTTTCTAAATTCTATCCTCATCAATCTGAGTAATTTTTCACCAGCCTGAAGCAATATAAGAAAAATCAGGACAGTGCAGTGAGTTCCTATAAGGTTACATTTATTCAATTTAAAGATCTGTCTTTTATTCTGAGATTATGGCTATATATATTTTTGGTGTTAAAACGTCCCTGTGAATTGATGGTGATAGTTCTTTTTAAATGCCATCTTCTGGCAAAATAAAATCCTGTGAGTCCCTCTTCCCCACCACCATTTTTTCTTTTCTCATCAAACTACAGCAGTACTGTGCAGTAGAAATATAATACAAGCCACATATGTAATTTTAAATTTTATTGCAGCCATATTAAGAAAGTAAAACAGGTGAAATTAATTTGAACAATATACTTTTATTTAACCCAATATATCCAAAATATTATCCTTTCAATGTGTAATCTGTATAAAATAATTACTAATGAGATATTTTATATTCTTAAAAAAAAATAAGTCCTTGGAATTGTTAAGCTGACAGATTCAGCTGGTAACAAAACAAGAAATCTAGATAGATCCAGACAGTTTGTTACTTATAGAGACAGCAAAAGCAACATCAACAATGGTATCAGTGCCCTGTGTTCCTTGTCCAGCAGAATGACACTGAAACAAAAAGGGCCAGATGGCACACAACGCCGAATGATAGGACCCCCTGGTGCGGAGTAGCCAGTGCCACACTGTAGCTAAGCAATTTTATGGCCTGTGGCTGTATCTTCTGGGCTTGGGGGGCAGGTTGAAAGCCCTACATCTTACTGGAACAAGGGAGGCAAATGAAAAACTGCCTCATGGCAGCTTCCCTCCTCATAAGACAGTCTGTATTCCTATGTTCTAGGAGGATCACAGCGCATTCTGCCAAGACCTGGGTCAGCCTACAGTTGAGCCTTACCTATGTGGCCTGTGTGAATAGTACAAGGTCATCTGGATACTGACATAGCAGTTCCCCTACAGAAATCTAGTGTATATTTTATACTTACAGCACATCTCAATTCGGGCTACCCATATGGCAGGTACTCAAAAGCCACACGTGCTTGCCCTTGCCCCTTCCTGTTGTTGTCTTCCCTACCACCCTGCCTCTCAGCAGAGCTCTAGCTGCTCTTAGGCTTCAGTATGGGACAGAGGCTGCATGAGGGCTCTTCTACCTCCTTCACCCCTTGACACCACCTGTGGCACATGTGTCATCTTCACTGGCCTCAGACTCTCCAGCATGTCCTCAGGGTAGTTTCTATCTGTTTCCACCCATGTCCTGCCTTCCTTTATCTGCAAAAGCCTATCTTCTTTCCAAACTTGGCCTCTTTCCCTACCTTCTACCTCTGACACTCAATTCCTTTCCCCCATTCTCTTTCTTTCTCCCTTTTTTTTTTTTTTTTTTTTGTGACAGGGACTGGCTGTGTTGCCTGCGCTGGAATGCAATGACATGATCACAGCTCACTGCAGCCTTGAACTCCTGGGTTCAAGTGATCCTCCCACCTCAGTCTCCCAAATAGCTAGACTACAGGTACGAGCCACCACGCCTGGCTAATTATTTTTTTTTTTAACCTTTTTGTAGAGACAGGGTCTTGCTATATTTCCCAGGCTGGTCTCCAACTCCTTGCCTCAAGTGATCCTCCTGCCTCAGTTTCCCAAAGTGGTAGGATTGCAGGCGTGAGCCACTGTACCCGGTCTCTTTCTCCTTATTCTTATCTTTTTTTTAAGTTCTGGGTTTCTGAAAAAAGAATAATCTTTTTTATACCTTCTTGTGGTTTTCAAGCTATCTTCTAACTTCTCTCCTAATCTTGGCTTTATTTTGTTTGCCCTTAATATGCCTATCTCCTTTAGCCCTACTTCTTCCCTGCATTTCCCCCAGCATTCTTGCTATCTCCATCCCTCCTCCACTTTCCTATCCCATACATATTAACCTCTTCTCTGCCTATGGCTTAACTCTGACTTGGAATAGGAGCACTAAATGTAGCACAAAGAACTTGGGAGTACATTTCTTAGAGCAGCACCAACTTTATCAAATGGAACCAGACCTAGGGCTAGCTGGGCTACTTCTAGAAAACTCTCAGCTGCCTGTTGGTTATAAGCATTATCACCCTTGATTTACAGATGAGGAAATAGAGGCTCTACGAAGTGTAGAGATTTGCAACCTTGGTGAGTTTCAACCTTATGTTTGTTCCACTGCAACATGAGAATTCAATCTAAATATTGGAGCTGCCATTTGTATCACTTCCTCTATACGCCCCCTATCTAAGTCCCAATGCTATATGGTTAATATCAGATGATTTCCTTAGTTCATTAGGAGTTATCCTAAGAACTCATTGGAAGGATACCCCAGTACAGACAACATTTTCTGTCATTTTCTAATCAGAATGCTATGGTCTGAATGTGTCCACCCAAAGTTCATATGTTGAAACATATCTGTAAAGTGTTGGTATTAGAGATAGGGCTCTGGGGAGTTGATTAGGTCATGAGGGTGACCTTTTAAAACAGGCCTGAGGGAGCTTGTTTGCCCCTCTGCCGAGTGAGGAGGCAGCAAGAAGGTACCATCTACAAAGCAGACACAGCCCTCACCAAATCTGCTGACACCTTTATCTTGGACTTTCCAGCCTCCAGAACTGTGAGCAATAAATTTCCATTGTTTATATTTTACCCAGTCTATAGTATTTTTTGTTATAGCAGCTGAAATGGACCAAGACATACAGTTTATTGTTTGTCTTCTCGTTTCCTTTTGGATATGAGTGTATTTATCATGGGGGTAGTTTAATAAATTGACAGCAGTCCATTTAAAAGGAACAATTTATTTATTGCTTAAAGATCATAGACCAGAAAATATTAATAAGACAGCTGAAAAGATAAACAAAGCAACCCAGGGTTGTTAAGGAAGTCTTCACAGGCATTACAGGCATCTGGTTTTTCCTAACCTTTTCTGATGAGGGTTAGGATGAGGAAGTTCAGGATAAGAATAACAGCTCAGAATTTCTTCATCTCTGCCCTAATTGTTCCCTTAGCTGATGAATAACAACCAGACCCACTCTTAAAAACATAACAACAGAAGAAACATAAGCAGCAGCAAAAAAATCATCCCTGAGCAGGAAAGCAGCCCTATTGCCTGAACAGAGACAGGACACAACCTAGTATTAACTGCTGCAAGGTAGGCACTTAAATTCACTGTGGCAAGTCCTAGTCCTAGGTAGAAATGAATTTGTTTCTATGTTTTAGGAAATACTTCAGGAAAAAAAAAACCAGAAATGTTTGGAAAAGCTAAAACACATTCAAATCAGCTATATGACTTCTAAGCTAGATTGTCTGCCTTTGGCAAGCATGGCTGAATGATCTGATGATACCATAGCATAGAAGCAATACAAATAATTCTCACTGGGTGCAGTGGCATGTGCCTATAGTCTCAGCTGCTCAGGAGACTGAGGCAGGAGGATTGCTTGAGCCCAAGAGTTCAAAATCAGCTTGGGAAACACAGTGAGACTCTAGCTCTAAAAGAATAATAATAATAATTCTCAAATTAATAAAGAGAAAATCCCACAATTGTGTGGAGTCTTTAAGTCTACTACTTTCTTTATATTGTCCTTTTCTACTCAACTACAAACTTCAAACATATTATAACTAGCAAAAGAATTAGAGAAACAACTACAATTGATTTGACATAAGGCAAATGAAGGGACAGAAATATGCACAATTTCATCCACTCTTCAGTCTGGATAGAGAATCCAACATTTGTGTGCCAGGCTTAAGGCTCTCCTCACTTCTCTAGAAAATATTTCAATTGTTGCTGTAGGGAAACAAGCTGTAAGGAGAGGTAGAAAAACATGAGAAATTCATCTGAAATCTTAAGTTCCATTACTTGATTTAGAATTTACTAACATGAGCCAAAAAGAAATATTGTCATTTGTCATTTATAAGGTTATCTCAGCCTTACAATGTTTCAAAGAACAGTGCCACAGTCAAGAATGCATGCACACTCCCTGTTGACTGATAGCATTAAAAAAAAAAAAAGAATGCATGCACAATGCTGCAGTGATGATGTCCTTTATTATGCCAAACTTATAAAAGGAAGCTTTAAAATTGAATATGCTTTAAAAATTGAATACATTTGCTGTTAAGAATCTGTGTTTCTATGAAGAATATACAGAGGTCACAGCTCACTGATGAGATCACTGCAGCCATATTCTAAGAGTCACAAGATAAGGCAGTTGGGATAGTCTTTTGTTCCAATGAACACACTGGATCTACCGAGTCTTACCCCCTTCTTCTTGCCACGTTATGAGACACTGAGAAACCAGGTCAGAGTCCTAACCAATCAGGAGCTTGATGATGTTCTACTGATGCTTTCTTAGTCAGAAGCCCTGAACCTTTTGTGGTATAAGATTTAATTATTATTATTTTTTTAATTTGGAGTGGTAAAGTGACCAATAACATTCAGGGATGTATACTGTCTTTAGATCAAAGGTTATTCAAAAATATTATTCAATTTAGGTTACTCCATACCAGTATGGAATTTTAGTCTGAAAGGAATGGAACATTATAAAACAATCCTATGCTGCACATCACCTACCAAACTGCTATAATTGCTATCTGCATTAACCTAGAGGCTCTTCTGACTCAGATACTGAATGACCCCCAGTTACTCATGATTACAACCACTGATGCTCCAGTTCTTTCTCCTTTGTGAGAAAGAACCAAGATGGTGGAAAGAACCTTCCACCATCCCCTAAAGGTAGGTTTTTCCCTAGGTTCAGACTTCTTGCTGAACAATCAACCTGGCTAACTCGTCCAGCCCCACAGCTCGAATGATCATTTCTGTGTTTGGGCCTCCAATCTCCCATTTTCAAAAGCACTTCCAACTAAACTCATCATTGTCTCCACCCTCAATTCCCCCTAAATCTTCTTTCTGTTGTCTTAATTTCAGTTAATGACACACCTTCCCAGTTACTCAGGCTTTGGACTCATCTTTGTTCCCCTTTTTGTCCTATAAATCCAAATAATTGTTAACTTCTGGTTCCTTCTACCACTTGTATCTTCTCCTAGTCTCTCCCCATTCCAACTTCTATATACAGCTGGCAGAAGAATCTTTCTGAGGTACTCCCCAGGTACAAAAAGCTTTGAAAGCTCATTATGACCTACACCAAAAATCTAAACTCTTAAGCCTGGCATCACCACCTCTTAGCCATTGTGCATGCTACTTTCTCAAAGAATGCCCTCCTTTCCCTATCTCCTTATTAAAACTCTTCCTACATTTTAAGGCCCCAAACATCTTCTCCATGAAGCCTTCTCTAATCTCCATAGACAAAATAAGCTCTCATTCCGTTAAGTCCCTATGCCTCTCAGGAATTTCTCCCCAACTGAAAGCAGAGACTATATCATAAGCATTTCATAGCTCCCTGCAGAACCTAGCTTAAAGTAGGTACCCAATAAATCTATGTTGAATAAATGACCTAACATAAAGGGCTCTGAGTAAATAAAGTTTACAGCTACATTTCTGTGTTGAAAATAGCACTCCTTGAGCTCAAGTGGCAGGAGGCAAGGGTTGGAAATGTCAAGTTTCCCGATTTCATTGTATAGACAGCTCTACTGTAAAGAGAGCTCTACCTAAAACCCGAAGAACTTTGTGTAAGAAGTGTGACAAGCATCAATCTCACAAAGTGACCCAGTTTAAGAAGGGCAAGGATTCCCTGTATGCCCAAGGAAAGAAGTGTTATGATTGTAAGCAGAGTGGCTATGGTGGGGAGACAAAGCCAATTTTCTGGAAGAAGGCTAAAACGACAAATAAGATTATGCTAAGACTGGAATGTGTTGAGCCTAACTGCAGATCCAATAGGATGCTGGCCATTAAGAGATGCAAGCATTTTGAACTGGGAAGAGATAAGAAAAGGCCAAGTGATCCAGTTCTAAACTTTGAGTCTCTTTTTGTTCCTCTAATTTTGAGGAGAAAATGTTAAAGCTATGGAAAAATTACCTGTAGGGAAATAAATACAGTGATAATCAAAAAAGAAGAAAAAAAAAAAAAGAAAAGAGCACTTCTCAATACTAACAATAGCCATGTGTTGCTTAACAATGGGGATACATTCTGAGAAACGCATCAATAAGCGATTTTGTTGTTATGCAAACATCATAGAGTGTACTTACACAAACTTAACCCTTTGCACTCGGATGTCGAGTGTGACTCGACACAGTTAGCATCGGTACCAGCTCGTATGTCGAGCCACACTCGACACGTAGTTTCACCGTGGGGGGAAGGGGGATTTTTGACTATTTTTCCAGTGTATTTTCTTGTTTTCATTAGCATGAAAAGAAAAGTAAAATGTAAAATCTGGGGTATTTAAAAAATTAAATGCTGAGTAGAATAAAGGAATCAAGAAAAAAGCAAGCGAGTGCAAATTAAATGGTATAGCCTACTACACACCTAGGCTCTATGGTATGGCCAGTTGATCCTAGGCTACAAACCTGTACAGCTTGTCACTGTACTGAATCCTGCAGGCAGCTGTAACACAATGGTAAGTATTTATGTATCTAAACATATCTAAACATATAGAAAAGATACAGTAAAAATACAGTATAAAAGGTAAACAAAAAAAAAAATGGTATACCTGTATAGTGTACTGACCATGAATGGAGCTTGCAAGACTGGAAGTTGCTCTGAGTGAGTCAGTGAGTGAGTGGTGAGTGAATGTGAAGGCCTAGGACATTGCTGTACACTACTGTGGACGTTATATGTACTATATGCTTAGACTACACTAAATTCATTTTAAAAGAGTAATTGTGCTACAACATTATGATGGCGACGATGTCACTACGCTATAGGAATTTTTCAGTTCTATTACAATCTTATAGGACAACCTGATATCATATATGCAGTCCATCGTTGACCAAAACATGGTTATACAGCGTATCACAGTACTTACACAGATAAAAACAAAGATGTTTGGTGGGTACTAAAGCAATCTTGGCATTATCTGTTCACCTGGTTGTTTTTAAGCAGAACTTGGATAAATGATTTGCTAAGAGGAAGGGAATATACAGAACATAAAAATTCCCCTGGCCTTGTGGGGATGGGGGTGGGGAGCAATGTATGGCATACATCCTTCACATTTCCTTCTCCTTCAACATGCAGTCACTGGCCCAAGCCCCATCAATTCTACCTTTAAAATACATTATCTCATATATCAATGTTCATAGCAGTATTATTCACAATAGCCCAAAGTGAAAGCAACCCAAATGTCCATCAATGGGTGAATGGATAAACAAAATGTGGTATATCCATACAATGTAATATTAATCAGTATTAAATGGAATAAAGTACTGATACATGCCACAACATAGATGAACCTTGAAAACTTTATGCCAAGTAAAAGAAACCAGACTCAAAAGACCATGTATTATATGATTCTACTTGTATGAAATAACCAGAATAGGGAGATTAGTAGGAAGCAGATTAGTGGTTGCCTAGGACTGGGCAGGGGAGAGGTTTGGTGGAAATGGGGAGTGACTGCTAATGGGTACAGGGTTTCTTTTTGGGGTGATGAAAACTTCTAAAATTCTGGTGACATAAGCAAGACTTGCAAAAGGAAAAATAAAAATAAAAAAAATAAAATTCTGGTGACAGTTGCAAAACTTTGGATATACGAAAAGCCTTTGAATTGTATTTAAATGGGTGAATTACATCTCACTAAAATGCAGTTACAAAACCATTTTTATTACAGTTTAAAAATCTATCTTCTTTCCATCTCCACTGCCACTACGTTAGACCAAGTTACCATTTTTTTTTTTTTTGAGACAGAGTGTTGCTCTGTTGCCTGGGCTAGAGTGTCGTGGCATCGGCCTAGCTCACAGCAACCTCAAACTCCTAGGCTCAAGTGATCCTCCTGCCTCAGCCTCCAGAATAGCTGGGACTACAGGTATGCGTCACCATGCCTGGCTAATTTCTTTCTATTTTTAGTAGAGACGGGGTCTCACTCTTGCTCAGGCTGGTCTCAAACTCCTGACCTCAAGTAATCCTCCCACCTCGGCCTCCCAGAGTGCTAGGATTACAGGTATGAGCCACCACACCTGGCCATACCATCATTTCTTATTAGACTACCACACAGCCTCCAAACTGGCCTCTTTGCTTCTATTTCTGCCTTCCTACAATCCATTCTCCAGATAATAATCAGGGTAATCTTTAAAAAGTTCAAATTAGATATGATTCTCTTGCTTAAAATTCTTCAAGGGCTTCCCACTGCATTTAAGACTAAAACCCATCCTCCTTATCATGGCTGCAAGGCCATACGCTATGGCCTCTGCTTATTCCTCCAACCTTATGTTAAGCCAGTCTCTTCTTTACTTTAAATATTTCCAAGGTCCTCAAAGAGGCCAAGTTCTTTCTAAACACGGGACCTTGCATGTGCTCCACCCCAGAGGCTCTTCATCCCACTCTTTGCCTGGACTCATCTTTTAGGTCACAGTTTTTTTGTTTTTTTTTTTTTTTGAGACAGAGTCTCACTTTGTTGCCCAGGCTAGAGTGAGTGCCGTGGCGTCAGCCTAGCTCACAGCAACCTCAAACTCCTGGGCTCAAGCGACCATCCTGCCTCAGCCTCCCGAGTAGCTGGGACTATAGGCATGCGCCACCATGCCTGGATAATTTTTTTCTATATATATTAGTTGGCCAATTAATTTCTTTCTATTTATAGTAGAGACGGGGTCTCGCTCTTGCTCAGGCTGGTTTTGAACTCCTGAGCTCAAACAATCCACCCGCCTCGGCCTCCCAGAGAGCTAGGATTATAGGTGTGAGCCACCACGCCTGGCCTAGGTCTCAGTTTAAATATCATCTCCTCAGAGAGGCCTATCATGATCTCCCAATTTAATTTAGGACTCTAATAACACCATTGACTTTACTTCCTTCCTAGAACTTCTTCACAATTTGTACCTTTATATTTGTATAATTTGTTTACTGTCAATCTCCCTGGCTAGACTGTTAGCACCATAAGGACTAGTATAGCAGGTCTTTGAATAATATCGTTTCATTCAATGTTGTTTCGTTATAGTAAGCCCTCACTTAATGTCAACAGGTTCTTAGAAACTGCAACTTTAAGTGAAATGATGTATAAAAGGTCCTTTTATAATGTCATTAGTTCAATGTTGTTTTGTTATACTGTTAATGAGAATAATGTTCTCATAACTATCTGTGTGGCATTTGTACATTCTCCACATGTCTGTGTGGGTTTTCTCCCGGTACTCTGGCTTTGACCCACATCCCAAAGATGTGCATGTTAGATTCGCTGGCATGTCTAAATGGTTCCAGTCTGAGTGTGGGTGTGTGTGAGTGTGCCCTGCGATGGGATGGTGTCCAGTTCAGGGCTGGTTCCCATCTTGTACCCTGAGCTGCAGGAATAGGCTCTGGACACCCATGACTCTGAACTGGAATCACTGGATAATAATTATCTTATTTGTTTTTACTTATCTTTCTTAAATATATGTTTAGCTCACATTTATTTCAATGCTTAATATTACAAGTGTTTTTTCTTTCTTTCTTTCTTTCTTTATTTATTTTTGAGACAGGGTCTTGGTCTGTCGCCCAGACTGGAGTACAATGGCACAACTGATCCTTTCACATCAGCCTCCAAAGTAACTGGGACTACAGGTGTACAACATTACACTCGGCTAGTTTTTTTTTTTTTTTTTTTTTGTAGAGACGGGGTCTCGCTATGTTGTCCAGGTTGGTCTTGAACTGGCCTCAAGCAATCCTCCTACCTCAGCTTCCCAAAGCCCAAACTGCTGGGATTATAGGCATGAGCCACTGCACCCAATTGGTGTTTTGTTTTTTGTTTAGTAGTTTGGCGATATTTTTGTGACCAGAAATATACCATAGGAACTAACTCTTGTTTATATTAATTAGCTTATGGTAAAATTGGTTTTGTTATATGTTGTTTTGCTTAATGTTGCAGTTTCCAAGTAGATATCTGTAACATTGAGGACTTATTGTATTGTATCTGTCTTATTCAACATTGTACATTCAGTGCTTTTCACTTCCTAGGCGTTCAATATTTGTTGAATGAGTGAAGTTTTACAAAGACCTCATTCCACCCTGCTACCTTCATTTAGAAGATATGGCTACCACTACTCCTCTGAGAAGAATAGCCAAAAATGATATTGGGGGTGAGGTGGAGGGTTCTTTGTATCAAATGTGTTCTGGTAGATTTGGAAACATACTTCTCACCTGCTCAATTTTTTGATTTTCCTCCAACTTAAGTTGCTCCAGCACAGACTGTAAATGACTCTGGAAAACAAATTGTATAAATGATGAATGCTGAGTCTCAAAGTAAAAAGACCAAGAGAAACAAGGAGTTTGGCAAGTAATTTGATAAGAAAACTGTCAGTCATACAAAAGAGCGCTCTTTCTAACGGATTTAGAGTATAAAAACTACACACCTTAACAATAGTGCTATCCTATTTTATTTTGTACACCCTACACAACATTTTTTGTTGCCTTAAAATAAATGATTGGAATACCTTCGTGTTACCTTTTTCTAGTTTAGCACAAATCCTTTGGCTGTGGTGACCTATTAAAGAAGCTGCTGACAATTCCTCCATTCCCCTTCACCAGAGCAGAATAGTACTATTCCTATCTAGTAAAACATGCAACAAGAACCATCATAATAATACAATATATATGAATCTTTCAAAGTATGCCCTTATCTATTATCTTACTTCGTTATTCTAAAGGATAACATCAAAATGGGTATAATTCTGTGTCGAGCTGCTCCCCTTTGATGACCACAGCTCTACAGAAAATTTAATCTGGCAAGAAATTCTCCAAATGCTTCACAATTTCCTTCACTGCAAAAATGGAAACAAACGTGGCCTAAAATACATTTTCCTTTTGTTGAAACTCTTAAAACATGTATTACTAAAAGTAAAGCAAGATATTCTTATTCAAGCATGCATCATAAAATATTAAAACTAATTTAGTTAATTCTCCTTTACTGCAATGAATACATTTTGGTACAAACAACAGGGTTCAATCTATGCCCCACCATTTATTGTGAGTCTTGGCAAGTTAATTAAGCTCTTTGAATTTCAATTCTTTATCTATGAAATGAGAATGGTGATAATATCTTAAGCTTCAGGGATATTAGGCTAAAATGAGATAATACATGTACAATTCTTAGTTCTTTAAGTGCTTTCTACAATAGTAAATGTTCAATACTATTCTTAAGTCACCTGATCCCTTCCCAAAAATGCTTATATTAGATGATCAAAGTTACTCAGGTAAAAGGAAACAGGGCTATCTTTTATTAGGAGTTTCTAAGAGATTATTTGAGTTCATGAATGAACAAGAATGCTGCCAAGAGATGACATGAGTGGAAACACAAACATGGGATGGATTTTGAAAGTAAGATATCAAGATTTCTTTATGTCAGCCAACAAGAACTTACCTTGAGCATCAGGTTCTCCACTTTCATGATGAGATGCTTCTGTCTTTGTGCTTTTCTCTGGATCCCATGGAGCTTTTTCTCTATGTAATGAATCTGCTTCTGAATTTCAGAGACTAACAGAGATAGAAACTTTATGTATCGAAATAGAGCCTAGCCTAAACTAATGGACCAAGATCCAAATTAAGTAAAACTTCACTACCCATTTGAGCAATAACTTCTAAACTTAGCCTTGCATCTAATGTGCATTTAGAGTCAGCTTTTAGCATTGCCACTCCACCCCGACCCACCCCTGTTTTTCACTCTGACTTACCTACTGAAGTGGCACCCTCCTTTGCCTCATACTGGCCAGATTCCATAAACTTGGCCTGTAGCTCCCTCTCCAGATCTTCTTCAGAGTCCTCTTCATCCTCATCTTCATAATCATCTTCCTCTTCATCATCGTCATCGTCATCATCATCGTCATCCTCATCCTCCTCGTCATCGTCATCATTATCATCATCATCATCATCATCATCATCATCATCATCATCATCACTGTTACTACTAGAACCACTGAACATCTCACGGAGCATATCATATTCTATTGGTTTTAAGCAAGAGGAAGGAGAAACTACCTGAAGCTTTGCAAATGATTCCCACTCCAGATACAATCATACTTCTTACATTCAAATTCACTGGGCAACCAGTGAATTTTACAAATCATCTTTCTTGCAGGAGGATTATTCCCTTCATAAAAACAAGGACAGTGAATGAAAAACACTGTAACATTCATTCACATATTCTATGATCCAGACATCTAGAGAATTAAGGGACCACAAGAAGTTAGAATACCAGGGGTGGATGGGACATTAGAACACCAACCTAAAACATCTATACCAATCTGCAAAGCTTTCTTAAAGTAAAAGAAAAAAAAAAATAAAATAAAACATCTAAAGCACTGAGAGACCTTATCTTCCCAATAGAAGGGAAGAAGGGTAAAGGCATTCTTTTTCTGTGATTCACTGGTGAATCTATGGAGAATGATCTGATACCCAGTCAACAGCTGTCCTATCTAAAGTTCCTGCTTTGCCTTAACTAAATTACCTGAGATGTGACCTCTCTTGTAGCCACTCATTCCTGGGGATATCTGAAAGCCTGGAATAGAACCTTGACTTTCTATTTCCTTGGTATCATCTTCATTAATGACTTCCCATCCTGAAAGGAGGCAGCAGTCAAGGAAAATACAGAAGGAAAGGAGAAGGCACAGTTGAAAGGGAAAAGATTCTGGCTAAAGGTGCTATTTAATTTAGTCTAACTTTAGGTCATTTGTGGATTCCTAGTTTAATGAAGTGCCTTATATTGAATTACACAAGTAAATAAATGTCTATTACATGATTTTACTGTTCCTAGCTAGAACGTAACACTTCCGAAAATCTTAAGTTCTACACATCAAAACTGGCACACAAATATCAAATGAGGGTTTGTCAGCACATGCATATGGGGTGGAACAGACTATGCAGAAAATATTTTTATAAAGGATACGTGCACAGACAGCTTCAGCATCCGAACATAGCAGTCTCTTTAGTTCCTTTTCCACATCTGGAGAGTCAGTGTACTGAAGCAAAGTGGGGGAGGGGATACCAATACTGTCAATTAACACTTTGTGTTTTGTAGAAATGCCCTCTTCCTACAAACCAATGAATTCAAATGATTAGACCTTTTTAGATGCCAAATTTCTACTTTAGTGCTATTTATGAAGAAATTTTTAGCCATTGTCTAAATTTTTTTTACAGTAAACTTATTTATTCCCCAATTAAACAAATTATTTGAGACATTTAATCTTTTCAATTTGCCACTCTATGGTAAAGATCTCTCTCAGAGGTGTAGCCCTTAGGTCTTAGTTATTAATTATTTGCACTGATTCGTATTGGCAAAGAACTATAATTCCTTATTAGCTATTTAGAAGTAATTTGGTTTAAAGATCCAAATTCTCAGATTTCACTTCCCCACATGTTTATTTTTTTATTTTTTTGAGACAGAGCCTCACTCTATTGCTCAGACTAAGGTGCCATGGCACCAGCCTAGCTCACAGCAACCTCAAACTTCTGGGTTCAAGCGATCCTCCTGCTTCAGCCCCCCAGTAGCTGGGATTACAGGCATGCGCCACCACGCCTGGCTAATTTTTTTTTTCTATCCGGCTAATTTTTTCTATTTTTAGTAGAGACGGGGTCTCGCTCTTGCTCAGGCTGGTCTCAAACTCCTGACTTTAAGCGATCCTCCTGCCTTGGCCTCCCAGAGTGCTAGGATTATAGGCATGAGCCACTGCACCTGGCCCCCACATCTTTATTATTAGATATGCTCCTACAAAAACTGGATCTTAGCTACATGTTCTCCCTTGAATCCAGTTTTACATAATTATCTCCACAGCAACCAATTTGTCATGCCACAAATAGAAATTAAGACTTTGAGGGGGAATAAGCAATTGCAAACAACTGCTGCTAAAAATGAACCCTGGCTTCCAAGGAATAGTGTTTGAAATAAATATCAGAGAAAAAAGAAGATCAGAAAACACAGAGTCACTGGCCAAATTGTATCTTTGCCTAGGAGTTACTGGACAACAAACAATGAATTCATTATTCAGTGAATCAAACCCAGTGTACATGTACGGGAGTGGGGGTTAGGGGTGAGAAGGAAAGCTCAAAAGTTTGAAACCTTTATGATTTATTTGATTTGTTTGAAACTAATGAGCTATTAAACAAAACACACTAAGGGTAAACAATGAAGTTATGATTGCTCTACCTCAGTAAAGCTGATTTCTTCGATTTGTTTGAAATCAATGGGCTATGAAATAAAACACAATAAACAATGAAGTTATATTATGATTGTTCTACTTCAGTAAAGCTTAAAGAGCTCTATAACTATTCTTAACTTAGTTTTACATTTAGTAGCCACTCAATAAATGCTGTTGACTGACAGAGTATAAAAGCCAAGGCAACCGTGTTCATAGACTGGAATACTCAACATAGTAAACGTGTCAGTTCTCCCCAAATTGAACTATAAGTTTAATGTAATTCCTATCAAAATTCCAGCAAGGTTTTCTGTAGACATAGACAAGCTTATGCTAAAATTTATATGGGAAGGTATAGGCTCTAGAATGGCTAAAACAATACTGACAAAGAAAAATAAAATGGGAACAATCAGTGTTCTGATTTCAAGACCTATTATATAGATACACTGTAATACTGGTGGAGAGATTAGCACATGGATCAGTGGGACACAATAGAAAACTCAGAAATAGACCCACACACATATGCCCAACTGATTTTTGGCAAAGGTGCAAAAGCAATACAGTGAAGGAAGGACAGCCTTTTCAACAAAGGGTGCTGGAAAAATTGGACAGCCTTAGGCCAAAAAAAGAGCCTTGAACTTGATATCATACCTTTTATAAAAATTAACTCAAAAATGGATCACAGTCTTTTTTTTTTTTTTTTTTGAGACAGAGTCTAACTTTGTCACCAGGGTTAGAGTGAGTACCATGGCGTCAGTGTAGCTAACAGCAACCTCAAACTCCTGGACTCAAGCGATCCTCCTGCCTCAGCCTCCTGAGTATCTGGGACTACAGGTGTAAGCCACCACGCCTGGCTAATGTTTTGTTTCTATTTTTTTTTTTTTTTTGAGACAGAGTCTCACTGTGTTGCCTGGGCTAGAGTGCCGTGGCATCAGCCTAGCTCACAGCAACCTCCAACTCCTGGGCTCAAGCGATCCTCTTGCCTCAGCCTCCCAAGTACCTGGGACTACAGGCACATGCCACCATGCCTGCCTAATTTTTTTTCTATATTTAGTTATTTGGCTAATTTCTTTCTATTTATAGTAGAGATGGGAACTCGCTCTTACTCAGGCTGGTCTCGAACTCCTGAGCTCAAGCAATCCTCCCACCTCGGCCTCCCAGAGTGCTAGGATTACAAGCATGAGCCACTGCGCCCGGCATTTGTTTCTATTTTTAGTTGACTGGCTAATTTTTTCTATTTTTAGTAGAGACAGGGTCTTGCTCTTGCTTAGCCTGGTCTCAAACTCCTGACCTCAAGTGATCCTCCCACCTCGGCCTCCCAGAGTGCTAGGATTACAGGTGTGAGTCACTGCATCCGGCTCACAGGCTTAAATATAAAATGTAAAACTTTTTTAAAAAACATATATGAAAATCTTGATGATCTGAGTTAGGCAAAGAGTTCTTACATTTAACACAAAAAGCAAGATCCTTAACAGAAAAAAAAAAAGCTGGACCTCATCAGAACTAAAAAGTTTTGGTGTTTGAAAGACCCTGAGAAGGGGATGAAAAGATAAGATATAATTGGGAGAAAATATTTGTAAACTACATATCTGACTTGTATTTATTAATGGAATATAAAAAGAACTCTCAAAACTCAATAATGAGACCAGGTGCAGTGGCTCACGCCTGTAATCCTAGCACTCTAGGAGGCCGAGGCGGGCAGATCGCTCAAGGTCAGGAGTTTGACACCAGCCTGAGCAAGAAAGAGCAAGATCCCGTCTCTACTAAAAATAGAAAGAAATTAATCGGCCAACTAAAAATACATAGAAAAAATTAGCCTGACATGGTGGTGCATGCCTATAGTCACAGCTCCTCGGGAGGCTGAGGTAGGAGGATTGCTCGAGCCCAGAAGTTTGAGGTTGCTGTGAGCTAGGCTGACGCCACGGCACTCTAGCCTGGGCAACAGAATGAGACTCTGTCTCAAAAAAACCCAAAAAAACCCCAAAACTCAATAATGAATAAAACCTATTTAGAAAATGGACGAAAGGCATGAACAGACATTTCATTGAAGTGAATATATACATGGAGAGCAAGCACATGAGATGTTCAACATCATTAGCCATCATGGTAATGTAAACTAATATCACAAGATCACTACATACCAATCAGAATTGCTAAAATAAAAAAAACAGTGACAACACCTAATGCTAGTGAGAAGGTGGAGAAACTAGATCACTCATACATTATTGGTGGAAATATAAAATGGTACAGCCACTCTGGAAAATAGTGGAGTAGTTACTTATAAAACTAAACATGCAACTACCATATGACCCAGCAGTTGTACTCCTGGGCATTTATCCCAGAGAAGTGAAGACTTATATGTTCACACAAAAACCTGTTCACAGCTTTATTTATAATAGTCAAAAACTGAAAACAACCCAGATATCCTTCAATGGGTGAACAGTTAAACTGTGGTACATTCATACCATGGAATACTACTCAGCAATAAAAAGGAACAAACTATTGATACTGCAAAAACTTGCATGGATCTTAAGGGAATTATGCTGAGTGGGAAAATAAGCTAGTCTCTGATGTTATTATATATGGTATGATTCCATTTATATGACATTTTTGAAATGACAAAATTACAGAGATGGAGAACAGATGAGTGGTTGCCAGATGTTAGGGACCAGGGGTTTGTGGTAGAAGAAAGGTGGGTATGGTTATATAAGGACAAGATAAGGGATCCTTGCGGTGGTGAAACTTTTTAGCATCTTGACTATGTAGGTGGATACACGAACCTACGCATGGGATAAAACTGCATAAAACTAAACACACACACATAAACACATGAGTACAAGTAAAAACTAGAGAAATTTGAATAAGATTGGTGAATTATAACAATGTCAAGTTCCTGTTTGGGATATTGTACTATAGTTCTGCAAAATGTTATAATGAGGAAAACTGTAAAAAGGGTACATAGTGTCTCTCTTTTATTTCTTACAACCATATGTGAATCTATAATTCTTTGAAAATACAGTGTTTAATTTTAAAAAAGAAGCCAAGCCACAATACTCCTGTACCTTGCCCAAGGTTCTACAAGCCTGAAGTAGGGTTAGAAAAATATAACTACAATTCCCAATTCTTAGGTTCTGGATGGGTTCACTTTAAATCCAGATCTTGCAATTGAAAACTAAGAGCATAAGCAGAAATTTCAAATCCATGATTCCTCCAGACCCCTAGCAATTAGGCTGTAACCTCAAGGACGAGGTTTGTTTTTATTCACTGCTATATTCCCATCTGCTAACATAGTGTATGGTGTTTAGCTTGCATTCAATAAATGTTTACAGAACATATGAATGAATGAACAAATTACTTCCCAACTGACTTTCTCCCTTTCTTTCCAACTCACAATCCTCTTCTAATCTACCCAGCAGACACACAAATAGCATGCAACTAACCTTTTTTGTTGTTTTCCGGAATCTTTTCTTTCTGACATTCTTAAGTGGTGGAGTAACTAAAATAAATACAACAAAGTGAAACATATATATGATTGATAGTAGTCACATATCTATCTGAATTTGATAGCGAAAGGTCATGCACTAGGCCACTGGCTCATGACATGACTCCTTCCCTTAACAGTGTCTGAGAGCCTAATGAACCAAACACCTAAGTGTGGTAAGAGGTCCCTGGTTCACAAGGAATCAGGATTCAGCAGATAAATGTCAGCCAGAATGAGCACGGGGCTGGTGACTTACTGCCATGCTTCCAGACATATTTCTTCTGTTTCTCCTTTTCATCTTTACTGATTGCTTTAAGATCAGTAGAGGTAACTGGTTCTTCTGGAGAAGAGTGGATATCATGATCAGCCTCACACACAAGCATCTACATTTAACAAAGACAAAGAAGTTATTATGGCCATAAATCTTGGGTTAACAATAAATCATGATCATTCTTACTACCAGAAATCCTAGAGCACAGAAAAGACGGATACTTGGCATTTCCAGGACACCAAGTGTTATGTAATATACATCTATATTCTCTCATATTCTCCTTCCTCCTCTCTTTCCCCTCCCCCCACCAGCGGCACTATATATGGACTCTGAGGGGCTTTTTTTAGCTACCTCACTCACCACTGCAGAGGGAATATATTGAAAACAGACATATTCTTAACATTTTGATTTAGAGAGGAAATAAGAAATCAACAGCAGAGATGATGATAAGAACCAATTTAAACCTCCAGTGTTAATGGCACACTGCTTTAGCAGAAAGTTCAAAAGATCCCAGCTGCTCATGCTTTTCAATTAATGAAAAGTCACTATAAATGGCAAACAGGGGGCTCTACAAGCTATTTGGACAAAATTAAGTACTGAAAAGCTAAGGATCAAACACCAAACCGGAACATGTCATTTCATTCTTATGCAATCGATCTGGAAATTAGAAATGACAAGCAGCTATTCGCCTAGTGGAAAGGAGTGCTGAGAGAAAGAAAATGGAGGGAGAAAGGGATTCCCTAAAGGATGTGAGAGCTAGTACATTAAAAAAAAAAACTAGTTCATACCTGGGAAATATCTGCTGTTTTATAAAAGGTTTTTTTATCATGAGTTTTCAGGCTTCCGATAACACAAGGCAAATCAACTAGCTTAGCAGCTAGTGAGACATCTTCTACCTCAACAAGTGCATTCCGCCCATCAGCTGAAGAGAATTAAAGAAGATTAAAGTTGACATCTTCCCAGTGAACTCTTAAGCCTCTGAAGCTTCAAATAATGAAGATTTACATGAGACAGACTAGTCTTTCAGTGAAACCTACTATTTCTCAAAATGCTAAAATTGTGCACACAATTAGAACTTTCCAGAGAAAAGAAGGGAGAGTATATGGAGCTCTTTTTTCCCAGATGGTGTCACTAGTTCAAAAGTAGTTAAGTTTCTTGTTAACGAGTGTGAACTAAATGTGAGTGAAGCGGTTTCATTCTCATCCTGAAAAGCAAATTCCATCCATTTAAACCCATACCTTTTTTAGAAGCATTCAATCATGTCATTGTACATGTGTGTTTTCAAACTGTTGCGTGAGTGAAGGGTTGACCCTAGAATGGTGCTAATTAGTCTCATATTAAAAATCTTGGCTGGCCACAGTGGCTCACGCCTGTAATCCTAGCACTCTGGGAGGCTGAGACAGGAGGATCACTCAAGGTCAGGAGTTCGAAACCAGCCTGAGCAAGAGCGAGACCCCTCTCTACTAAAAATAGAAAGAAATTAATTGGCCAACTAATATATATAGAAAAAATTAGCCAGGCATGGTGGCGCATGCCTGTAGTCCCAGCTACTCGGAAGGCTGAGGCAGGAGGAGTGCCTGAGCCCAGGAATCTGAGGTTGCTGTGAGCTAGGCTGACGCCATGGCACTCTAGCCCAGGCAACAGAGTGAGACTCTGTCTCAAAAATAAAAATAATAATAATAATAACAATAATAATAAAAATCTCTAGTTGCTTCACAAAGATAAAATTCTATACAACAGCCGTCTATTGAACTCTGAATCCTGCTTAGATATTTCAAATATGAATGCCTTTTGACACAAGAGGACTCAGGTGTAATCTTATATTAAGTTAAAAAAGAAACATGCAGAACCATGTTTGATGTGATCCTTTTCATGTGAATTACCTTTCAAAATATATAGAGAGATTATTTACATTCTAGTATTTTGCATAAAAATTTTGTCTGTAAGGAAACACAAGAAGAAATGGTTAATAATAGTAATCTTTGGCATTGAGGCTAGAGCACTGTGAGGAGAGTTTCATTTCTCCTTTTGAACTTTTATTTGAATTTTCTAATCACAAACTTGTATTATCTTTTTTTATAATAAATGTTAATGAGAGGCCGGGCGCGGTGGCTCACACCTGTAATCCTAGCACTCTGGGAGGCCAAGGCGAGAGGATTGCTCGAAGTCAGGAGTTGGAGACCAGCCTGAGCAAGAGGGAGGCCCTGTTCTACTAAAAATAGAAAGAAAATTAGCCAGACAACTAAAAATATACAGAAAAAATTAGCGGTATGGTGGCACACCTGTAGTCCAGCTACTCAGGAGGCTGAGGCAAAGGATCGCTTAAGCCCAGGAGTTTGAGGTGCTGTGAGCTAGGCTGATGCCACGGCACTCACCCAGGCGACAGAGTGAGACTTGTCTCAAAAAAAAAAAAAAAAAAATGGCTGTACTAATTTAAATTACTGCCAACAATGTGCAAATGTTCCCTTTTCTCTGCATCCTCACCAATACTTGTTGTCTTTCTTCTGTTTGATAAAAGTCATTCTAACAGGTGTGAAGTGGTACCTCATTGCAGTTTTAGTTTGCATTTCCCAGACCAGGGCAGTGGTTCATACCTGTAATCCTAGCACTTTCGGAGCCAAGATGGAGGTTTGCTTGAGGCCAGGCTTTGAGACCAGCTTGGGCAACATAGTTGAGTTCCTTTTATGTTTTGGTTATTAACCTCTTACCAGATGTATGGTTTGCAAATATAACAAATATTATTTAAAGAAAGAAATATATGTCACCTTTGTAAACAAAGAACACCATATCCATTTGTCATTCTCTTGGACATTAAAAATCATAAAGCTTGTATATAAGACTACTGGCAGTATGGAAATCCCACAGTTAACCCCTAAGTTCTTCCTTATACACACTATGATAATTACTCACATAAAGTTGCATAATTTCTACTTTCTTTCCTCTTAATAGGACTTAAGGCCGGGCGCGGTGGCTCACGCCTGTAATCCTAGCTCTCTGGGAGGCCGAGGCGGGCAGATTGCTCGAGGTCAGGAGTTCAAAACCAGCCTGAGCAAGAGCGAGACCCCGTCTCTACTATAAATAGGAAGAAATTAATTGGCCAACTAATATATATATACAAAAAATTAGCCGGGCATGGTGGCGAATGCCTGTAGTCCCAGCTACTTGGGAGGCTGAGGCAGGAGGATTGCTTGAGCCAGGAGTTTGAGGTTGCTGTGAGCTAGACTGACGCCACAGCACTCACTCTAGCCTGGGCAATAAAGTGAGACTCTGTCTCAAAAAAAAAAAAATAGGACTTAAGCCTCTCTAAACCATGAGTCCATCAAGACAGAGGCCATATTATATTCTTTTTCACATCCTTAGTACCTATCACAGTGCCTGGCACATAGCAATCCCTTGGTACATTATTGTTCAATATATGCTGAATAGATATTAACTACTTACAAGATAAGTCAATTTTTAGTTTATCCTTCGAGATGACACTTCCAGAATGCATTAAGTTCCTCACAGTACAAGCATGTTCCTGAAAAGGAGGTAAATTGAAAAATCAGGATTACTTATCTACCTGGCAGCTAAGAGAATAGATATATCAAAGAAAGCTCTCCCTTAAATAAAACCTTACACCTCCCAAATGTTAATAGCAAGACCATGCATTGTATAAATCAAGTTAGGATGAGGCCAACTCTAATCTCATCGTCTTTTAGTAGTTACAGTTAATGCCTTCTCCTAGCTCTACATTCCTGCCTGTCACTGCTACCTTTCAGCTGTAGTTGCTAAAGAACGGCTTAGCTGCAGCGTACCTGCCATATTAATTGGCATATTCATCAACCCTAATTGGGGAAATAGCTTTCTGAACCTCATCCTTAATATAGCTTCCTAGACTAAGTAAATGCATGAATACAGGTATCAGGGCTGGAAGAAATCGAAATACATGTTGAGATGAGCTTCGACAGCTTGCATGGTGATAAATTTACAGGAGATATAGAGCTGGTCCTTCTCACTGCCCCTTTTGAGGTGACAGAAAGGATTTCAGAAGAGTCTTATCATGGCTGTCCAGGGAATAGGCTGTTAGTATCTGTGATAAGTGGCATCATTGTCACAGCTGTTTTGCCAGGAAATCAACTCACATGATCGGTGGTATGTACAGGAGGAAAAAAATCAGCTAAAAGAGTACACACCAGGATAGGACTGCTTAATAGAACATGATTCCTAGGAAACAGATGTTCTGAGTTTTTACAGCTTACCTGAAATAGAAATGTTACAGAATAGAGGAGAACTACACTCACGCACTGAAGATATTTGCTCTGAGATACAGAGGTTTCTTACCATAGGCAGACGTAAGATAAACTGGTTCTCAAGTTCATAAGGAAGTTCATTCTGTCTTTCACTCAGGTCTTATTTTTGAGTTCATGAAAACAAAAAGAAAACCAACAGAAAGTCACTAATAACTCCTCTTGCTCCCTCTGCTGACCAATTCTGGTAGTACTCGTTACATTATACAAGCTCTTGTCCATAATCCTCACTGGAATGATACTGGTAAAGTTACACAATACTTTCTTTGACATAATTTGATAATTTTTAAGAGTCACTTTATCTCCCCTCCAACATGTGCAGATTTCCCAAAGTCAATCCAAATTACATGATGTAATCTGATGAACAAATGAAGTAAGAGCTGTTATGCAACATGATTTAATCTTAATGATATTCTTAGACTTTCAGGTAAAGGACTACAATTCAACAACAGTGGTGGTTACCTAAGCAAACTATACGTCCTCTGCAGGGAAGAGTGCAAACTGAAGGCTGAAAACCCAGAAACCACTTGCAGAAATGTTCTATGATGATTTGAAGTAAACAAAAACTTAATTTTCAATTTTTCATCCACTTTAATGAATTGGTAGAAATTAGGCAGTCCACGGGAGAGCAAGTAATTTTTTTTTTTTTTTACAGATTAAAACTCAATTTTATTTGCTTCCATAGGTCACATACAGTTCCAAGTTTTTGGATGTGTGGTTACTTGATTTTTAAAAACAACATGAAAAAATAGCAACAAAGTTTGCCCCCCACAAAAAAAGACTCCAAATTAAATGCTTCACATTAATTTTCAAACTAAAAAAGAAGTCCTGAAACAACATTCTGGATAAGAACTATAGAACAGAATAAGCTAAGTAGGAAATTCAGTGGCAGCCTGGGGTTGAGAGCAGGTAATTTTTTATGACTCTGGAACCAACATCAACAGCACTGAGCTACCTTGGGGAAAAATTGGGAGTCCAGTTCTTTTTTTTTGAGACAGTCTTACTATGTTGCCTGGGCTAGAGTGCCATGGCGTCAGCCTAGCTCACAGCAACAACCTCAAACTCCTGAGCTCAAGCGATCCTTCTGCCTCAGCCTCCCTAGTAGCACCACCATGCCCAGCTAATTTTTTCTATATAGTTGGCCAATTAATTTCTTTCCATTTTTAGTAGAGATGGGGTCTCGCTCTTGCTCAGGCTGGTTTCGAACTCCTAACCTTGAGTGATCCTCTCGCCTTGGCCTCCCAGAGTGCTAGAATTATAGGCATGAGCCACCCTGCCCGGCTCGGAGTCTAGTTCTTATAGCTAGACTATCTATGTGAGTACCCCTAACTTCATGGAATATGCATTCCTGAAAGGGTGGTATGAATAGGACTTAAACTTTGATTTTATTTATTCATTACTAACATTTATTGCATGCATTCTATGGGGCTAGCACTACATTGAGTGCATTAATTCTATTACTTCATTTAATCCTCACAACCACCACTTATTTGAAATACTCCTAAAGTATGTTTAAAGGAACCCTAAAGTGGATCCCTTTGTAAAAAAAAAAGGAAAGGAAAGAAAAGAAAAATACACCTTTGATATAGTGAATACTCTCTTCCCAGTTAATCTTTCTTTGACAAACTATAATCGCATACAATTATGAGGGTACGTAGTAATGTTATGACATATGTATACTGTGTGAAATGATTGAATCAAGCTAATTTACATATCCATTACCTTAAATACTTATTATTTGTTTCTCCTGTCCAACTGCAACTTTCTACCCTTTGACCACAATCTCCCCCAGTCCCCTTACCCACCAACCTCTGCTAACCACCATTCTACTCTCTGCTTCTACGAGTTTGATTGTTTTAGATTCCAAATATAAGTGAGAACATGTGGGTTTTTTCCTTCCTCTGTCTGGCTTATTTCACGTAATGTCATCTAGGTTCATCCATGTTATTGCAACTGATATATTTTCCTTCTTTTTGTAAGGTTGAGTAGTATTCCATTGAGTATATGTACCACATACTCTTTATCCATTCATCCACTGATGAACACCTAGGTTGATTTCATAACTTGGCTACTGGGAATAATCCTATGAATGGGTGCATGCAGATATCTCTTTGACATACTGATTCCAAGTCCTTAGGATAAATACCCAGAAGTAGGATTGCTGGATCCCAAGTTAGTCTTTAATCTTATTTTCCATCTATTTGGGATGTATCTGTAGTAACTTGTATTTGGGCTATTAGGGCCCACACTTCATCTGAGGATGATTTTTCTAATAGGTTGGAAGAAAGCAATGTACATATATGAAACCTGACTATGCTATAAACCAAATTATAAGATCTTATACCTTGAGTTAAAGTAAAAGCTCCAGTTCATGTACAGTCCCTAATATTCTGTAAATCATTAACTAGACTCTGAGTTTTCAATTTGAATCTCAATTTAAAACACTGGAACATTTTTAAACATATACAAGTGGTTCTGGGACCCTATTAGGGTAAAATCATTCAGAAGGCAGGGTGTAGTGGCTCACACCTGTAATCCTAGCACTCTGGGAGGTCAAGGTGGGAGGATTGCTTGAGCTCAGGAGTTCGAGACCAGCCTCAGCAAGAATGAGACCCCCGATCTCTACTAAAAATAGAAATTAGCCAGACAACTAAAAAGAAAAAAAGAAAAAAATTAGCCAGGTGTGGTGGCACATGCCTGTAGTCCCAGCTACTTGGGAGGCTGAGGCAGGAGGATCGCTTGAGCCCAGGAGTTTGAGGTTTTAGTGAGCTATGATGATGCCACTGTGCTCTAGCCAGGGCAACAGAGTGAGACTCTCTCTCTGTAAAAAGAAAAAGCAAAGAAAAGAAAGAGAAAGAAAGAAAAGACATCATTTAGAAGTTATGATTTCACTATATTAGTGTAACTTCAGAAATTATCAGAAAGGCGTAGAAAACACAAAGAGGTCAACGGTGGAAAAGCAGACACCTAGGATGGGGAGGCCACATTATTTGTGATAAGTCATCTCTTCTTGCTTCATAAAGTTATAAATATGTATATATGCACAAGTACACACACACACACACACACACACACACATATATATACACACACACAAAAACGAAATGTAAATGTAAGAAAAAAAATTAATTAAAATAAAGTAAACGAAATACAAAATCTCGGGCTGGGCACATTGCCCAGCAAACGGAACAGAATAATCAACACAAGGTTGGGGGCAGAAACTCAGATTATTGGAAGAACTAGTTGCTAAGCAAGATTTTATCAGATCAGTAGTAACTTTTAGATTTCTCAGCAGAACTAAGACGAGGGCATTTTGTTCACTGCAAAGCCTTTTTGGCAACTCCTCTTTTATGAAAGAAAGAATGTAAGAACTGAAACTATTTCAAAGTAGTTGCTTGTAAACACCTGATAAAAGGTCCCATGGGAAAGAAGTCAGCTAACCCTGGTTGAAATGAGTTTTAATTATTTTTTAAATTTGTTACCTGCATTTACCCAAAGAACTGGTTGTATGGTGTTTACAATAAGACAAAGCATCAACTTTTTTCCAGCAAGAGTTCTTTGATACCTAATTAAATTAAAGGAGGACCCCTCTCCACCTCTCACCCCAGCTCCATCTCGCTTTAGCAGAATTACAATAGAGGGAATTATAACTAGCTGCAGGGCGCCTGGCAGAATGCTCCGGGCAATGCGAGTCAGCACTAGCCTAAATAGGTATTTTTTCAAGTTCACAGCCGCTGGCTGCAATGTAGAGATAGTGACCCACACTCCATCCTTATCCTTGGGGCACTAAGCTTCCAAGGGGAAAGTTCGGTCCCTGGGCTTCGATCCCATTTCCCTTGAAAACCTCCCTCGGGGCCAAATAGGGCACAGCCTTCGCGCCTGGCTGTCCCGGCGGGCTGGGGAGGGCGGCGGGGTGGGCGCTGCCGGGGTCCCGGGAAGACTCACCTGCCCCTCCACGGACTCGCGCCGCCATCGGAGAGGCTGTGCGAGCTGGAAGCCGCGTCTCTGCCCTGCGGGTTCTGGGCGCCGGGAGCAGGGACAGGTAGGAGCGGCCCGCGCCCGCCCCTCCCCGCCTCGCCACGCCTCCGCGGCCGCGGGGCAGAGGGACAGAAGGGCAGCCTCGAGGGCTCGCCACGTGCTGGGGCGGGAAGGTTCGAAAGGCGCTGAGCGCTGAGGGCACGCGACGGCTCGGGGACCTCACGAAGCAAGATCAGGGCTTCAAAACAAGTCACCTTTCCATAGGGGCAACCTTCAGGGCGCCGGAGGATTTTCCCCAATAAACAGTGATACTTGCAAACACATCTGATTGCTCCTCAAATCCGTTAGGTTGGACGATTTGTCCCTTGGCGAGGCGACCTCACTTGGTGACGAATACACTGCTGCGTAAACCCACTAAATAACTGTAACTATAACCCGCGCCCAAACTATTCTAACATGATCAGCCTCTCCCTCTCCTCAACAGAGTCGCTGTTTTACATCGTTTGGAAAGGGTCACAGTTACGTCGCTTCAAAAGGGGGATTTCTTTTTTTCTTTTTTCTTTCTTTCTCTCTCTCTCTCTCTCGTGCTTTCCTTTTATTTCCTTTCTTCCTCCCTTTTCTTTTTTCCTTCCTTTCCTTTTTCTCCTTTCCTCTCCTGTCCTTTCCATTCTCCTCTTTGTTTTTGAGACAGAGTCTCACTCTGTCGCCTGGGCTAGAGTGCCATGGCGTCAGCCTCGCTCACAGCAACCTCAAACTCCTGGGCTCAAGCGATCCTCCCACCTCAGCCTCCCGAGTAGCTGGGACAACAGGTGTGTGTCACCATGCCCGACTAATTTTTTCTATATATTTACTTAGTTTTAGTTGGCCAATTAATTTTTTCTAACTTTAGTTGCCCAGCTAATATTTTTTTGCCTATTTTTAGTAGAGACGGGGTCTCGCTCTTGCTCAGGCTGGTCTTGAACCCCCGAGCTCAAGCGATCCTGCCGCCTCGGCCTCCCAGAGTGAGCGACCGTGCCTGACCCGAAAGTGGGATTTCTCCAAAAGGGGGTTTGCACTTCAAAGGCCCAAAGAAGATCCTCGAATCGTGAAAAAAAAAAAAAACCACTTAAAAAGCCACTTACCTTTCCTTTCTACTAAGTTTCCTGGAGTTTGGGCAGCAGCTTGGGCACTGCTGTCGGCATCAGTATGAACGCCATGGTCGCCAGGAATTCGGGTGCCTTGCTCGCCGGCAACTTCGGTGCTGCTGTCACAGGCGGTTTCAGCCCCACGGTCACCAGGAATCTGGGGTTCTTGGTTGCTGGTTACTTCTGCTGTGGAAACTGTCAGTGTTGAATCATTTTCTGAGGAATCGGGGAGCTGCGCCTCAGGGCACTCCATAGTTCACAGTTGGGGTTGTAAAATGGCTTCCTATTAGTCATGTGATCAGGAAAGTTCTAGAATTTTCATGAAATGATGTCAAAGGTAGCTTTTTTAAAGACATAGTGATACCATTAGACGCATTGCTGGTGCCTGTTAAAGGTTGTTCCGAAGTTTCTTACTGCCTAACACTTATCTAAACTTAATTGTAAGGAATAAATATTTTTGGAAGATTCTCGTACAGTCATTTCTTCTGGCACGTTATTTTTTCATCCAATTAAATTTAAGATGACCGGAGCTCCGGACCTAGACAAAATAGGTTTTGGTCCTTTTTGAATCCATCCACTAATCTTTATTTTGTCATTACATCATGGGGCTACATCAAAGGTTGTAATACAAAATAGACCAATGAGACCAGTTTTACATTTACTGTAGAATATTCTTGAAGGCATTTATTATTTTTTTTTATTTCAGCATATTATGAGTGTACAAATGTTAAGGTTATGTATATTGCCCATGCCCCCCCTCCCCCTTGAAGGCATTTATTATATTAAAAATCTTTTAATGAGAACTCAAAGAAAAATACTGTTTTTGGTAATTTAAATAGCTGAGGAATTGTTTTGAATTGCATGAACAATGTGAATTGTATCATTCACTTTATGATGGCTGCTAGGAAGCTCAGAACCAAATTTGCAACCCACTTCTAATAACTATGAATCTTATTGGTATACATCAACCTTTCTTGATATCTTAAATAACTGCATTCTCTCCTAATTCCCTAAGTATTTTTATCTTGTACATAAGCAAACCTGAAAGCTGCTCAAAACCTTTTAAAAAAGAATCACATATACATGTCAGATGAATGAAACTACTACTCTAACAGAAGTGTCTCAGGGAGCATCCCAATGGATGGAAGAGGAGAGCATATAACTGCTCACTTATAAACTCTATCATCCAACAAATGTTAATTGAGAATTTAATGTGCCAAGCTGTATTTGAAACATTTATCAAATGATTAGAATACGGTAAATGATTCATGCGAAGGAGGCAAAAATTATCCTTAAGAAATTTGCAATCTAGTTAGCGATATGAGGCCACACATACGTAATTTTTCCCTTATGCCAGATGTCTAGCCTCTTCTTAAGGAAAAATAGTAATAAAAAGTGGAATAAATGAAATTATATAAATTATTATTATTATTTTGGGACAGATTCTCACTCTCTTGCCTAGGCTAGAGTGCCATGGCATCAGCTTAGCTCACAGCAACCTCAAACTCCTGGGCTCAAGCAATCCTCCTGCCTCAGCCTCCCGAGTAGCTGGGACTCCAGGCTTGCACCACCATAACTGGCTAATTTTTCTATTTTTAATAGAGACGGGATCTCATGTTCAGGCTGGTCTCGAACTCGACCACAAGTGATCCTCCCGAATTCCTGACCTCAAGTGATCTTCCTGCCTCTGCCTCCCAGAGTGCCAGGATTACAGTCATCAGCCACCATGCCTGGCCTCAATTATAGTTCCTTTTGATAGGGGAGAACTGATCTAAGAAGTAACATAAGGTACAGATACAGATAAAAGCTGTTATGTACATACTATTATATTGTCTGGTGCACATAGAATATATTTATGGATTCTCTTCTGTCATATTGCTGTTTCTTTCCAGTAAGTTCTGTTGTACACCTCCCCCTGTATAGTACTTCTCCCCTCTCCCCAGCTATGGCTTCAATTTCAACATTATAACAAATATGCAGTTGCATGTGTTCCTTCAGTAGAAATGTATCCTGTAACAGGAATCCTTCCAAGGTTAATAACAGCTAACATTAACTGAGAGCCTTTTATGTGCTAGGCTCTTTGCCAATGCTTTGCATGCACTATCTCATTGAAACCTCACAATTGCCCTGTGAGTTTGGTATGATATGATCCTGTTTATTGGGGTTTTCTATATTAGTAAACTTAGATTTAAAAGGATTAATTATACCCATCTTTCACCATATACAAAAATCAACTCAAAATGGATTAAAGACTTAAATGTAAGACCTGAAACTATGAGACTACTAAAAAAAACATTGGAGCAACACTACAGGATATTGGTGTGGGCAAAGATATTTTGGGTAAGACCTCAAAAGCACAGGTAACAAAAGCAAAGATAGACAAATGGGATTACATCAAGCTAAAAAGCTTCTGCACTACAAAGGAAATAATCAACAAAGGGAAGAGACAACTCAGAGTGGAAGAAAGTATTTGCAAATTATCCATCTGACAAGGGATTAACAACCAGAATATATAAGAAACTCAATGTCAAAAAAAAAAAATCCTATTTAAAATGGGCAAAAGACCTGAATAGACATTTTTCAAAAGAAGACATACAAATGGCCAAAAGGTATATGAAAAAAATGCTTAACATCACTAATCATCAAGTAAATGCAAATTGAAATTGCAATGAGATATCATTTCATCCCAGTTAGAATGGCTATTATCAAAAACACAGAAAATAGCAGATGCCATCAAGGATGCAGATAAAGGGGAATCTTTGTACACTGTTCATGGAAATGTAAATTACTACAGCCACTATGGAAAACAGTGTGGAGGTTCCTCAAAAAACTAAAAATAAGCTGGGCATTGTGGCATGTGCCTGTAGTCCCAGCTACTTGGGAGATTGAGGCAGGAGGATTGCTTCAACCCAGGAATTTGAGACAAGCCTGGGTGATATAGTGATACCCCATTTCAAAGAAGAAAATACTTCATTGGTAAGTGACACATCATCTATAAAAGAAAGAAAACTAAAAATAGAACTACCATATGACCCAGCAATGCCACTACTGGGTATGCATCCAAAAGAAAGGAAATCAGTATATTGAAGAGATATCTGTACTCCCATGTGTATTGTAGCATTATTCATCATAGCCAAAATATGGAATCAACCTCAGTGCCCTTCAACAGATCAATGCATAAAGAAAATATGATGCATATACACAATGGAATATTATTCAGCCGTGAAAAAGAATGAAATCTTGTCATTTTCAGCAACTTGGCTGGAACTGGAGGAGATTATATTAAGGGAAATAAGCCAGGCAGAGAAAGACAAATATTGCATGTTTTCACTCATATGTGGGAGCTAAAAAAGTGGATCTCGGGCTGGGAGCGGTGGCTCATGCCTGTAATCCTAGCACTCTGGAAGGTCGAGGCGGGAGGATCGCTCAAGGTCAGGAGTTCGAAACCAGCCTGAGCAAGAGAAAGATTCCATCTCTACTAAAAATAGAAAGAAATTAATTGGCCAACTAAAAATGTATAGAAAAAATTAGCTGGGCATGGTGGTGCATGCCTGGAGTCCCAGCTACTCGGGAGGCTGAGGCAGGAGGATCGCTTGAGCCCAGGAGTTTGAGGTTGCTGTGAGCTAGGCTGATGCCACAGCACTCTAGCCCAGGTAACAGAGCAAGACTCTGCCTCAGAAAAATAAAAAATAAAATAAATAAATGAAAAAGTGGATCTCATGGAGGTAGAGAGTAGAATGGTGGTTACCAGAGGCTGGGAGGGGAAAGAGGGAGGAGGGACAAACAGAAGTTAGTTAAGAGGCACAAAAATACAGGTAGATAGAAGGAATAAATTCTACTATTTGATAGCATAGTAGGGCAAATATAGTTAACAATAATTTATTATATTATATATTTCAAAATAGCTAAAAAAGAAGTTTTGGAATGTCCTCAGCACAATGAAATAATAAATGTTCAAGGTGATGGATATCCCAATGACCTTGATCATTACATATTGTATGCATGTATCAAAATATCACATGTAGTCTGTAAATACGTATAACTATTATGTATCAATTTTTAAAAAAGAAAATCCAAAGGACTTTAGTAAAAAAAAATCTTTAATAAGAGAATTTGGATTCATGATAAATAAAGAATATTAAATAATGTTTTGTATTATAGCCATACATGAACAGAAGTGGAAATGGGAAAAATATTACATTTACAATAACAGGAAAAAGAACTTATAAAATAATTTGGAATACATTTAACCAGAAAGTCACAGTATTTTATAAAGGAAACTACAAAATCTCATTATAAATATAAAACTATTTTTGAACTCATGAAAAGGCACAGGCAGTGTTATTGAATGGGGAGACTTAATGCCAAAAAATGTTAATCCTCCCAAAATTAATATATTTAATATAAATGTAATGCAATTCCAATTAGAATCCCGGCAGGGTTTTTTTTGGTTTGTGGTTTTTCTTTCTTTTTTTAGGAATTGGATAACGTGAGTAGCCAAGAAAAGCCTGAAAAATAAGAACACTGAAGCAGGATTTGCCTTGCTAGGTATTAGGAAAAGCAATTAAGCCAGTGAGATCAAATCAACATATTATTAATATAAGATTAGACAAATAGATGCATGGAATAGAATAGCAAATCTAGAATGAGATCCTAGTGCTCGTTTTGGCAGCACATACACCAGAATGAGATCCTAGAATATGTGAAAAGTTAATGTGTGACAAAAGTAGTTCAGTTCATCAGGAAAAGGACAGATTATTTAATAATTGATATTGGCACAATTGGCTATCCATTCGGAAGAAATAAAAATGCATTCCTTTCTTACACAATTTAGAAAACTAAATTACAGATGGTTTAGTTCCTTTCATTTATTTATTTATCTTTAGAGACAGGGTCTAACTCTGTTGCCTAGGCTGGAGTGCAGTGGGGCGATCATAGCTCACTGTAACCTTGAACTTCTAGGCTCAAGTGATTTTCTTACCTCGGCCTCCTGAGTAGCTGGGACTACGGGCACCTGCCAACATGCCCAGATAATTTTCTAATATTTTTGGAGAGATGGAGTCTTGCTATGTCACCCAGGCTGGTCTGGAGCTCCTGACCTCAAGAGAGCCTTCTGCCTCAGCCTCCCAAAACACTGGGATTTTAGGTGTTAGCCACTGCACTGGACCTTAATTCTTAATATAAAAGTAAAAACGGTAAAAATGGAAAGTCTGGTAGGCCATGGATACAGTGTAAGGGCAGAAGAAATCTAACAAAGACTGGATACCCAGAGTTATATA